TTGGCTAAGTGGGGATGGTCATTGAATGGAGAGGGCCAGGTAGTTGGCAAGTGTCCGTGTCTGCGGGTCAGATGGCCTCTTCAGCGAACAGACCATGCACAAGTGTGTCGCTATGCTAGCCCAATTGGAATCATTTACGGACCATTTGAAACAGTTGGCCAGTCAATGCGGCTCTCTATCCGGCCTCAATTGGCTGCGCTTTAACTCTGCACCACTGAGACATCACGTACCGTAATTTATGGATGTAACAGTGTCTTTGTTGCGCGCAAATTAGCCCGTGGTGATTACTCGTCCACATTGACACCTCCGAGGGACAAGGCAGAGTGAGTGCAATTAGAGGAATCTCTATCCTCTGACTTCGAAGGAAAAAGCCTTGCTAATTGTTTGTTGATATCAGATTGATTTCGGCGTTGAAGCGTTTCTGACTGGCCATCAACGTTACGTCATCAGGTTACCTGAGTAAACTTACAACATATGCCACCCATGCGCCAGGTCGAGAAGTACTGTGGAGCCCATACTAACAGGATTGAGCGGAATTTATCCGCCGTGCTCATTTCACTCATAATGAAATTGATTCTTCAGTATACCATCAAACTATTCTATTAATTGTACTCAAAAGTCTTCTATTCTCCGTTCATAGTGAAACGTCGTTTTCAAACTCTTAATATTATTGTTTGTGCTTTTTTGAGTTGTTTATTGGAAGGGATGGGATCAAAAGAGTAGTTTAGACTCCGTTTATTAACAAAACCAAACAAAAACACAACAAATGAATAATCGACAAACGTTCTCGAACAGCTCTCTTCAACCGTGCCTTCATCCCAGACGTTCGTTGATTCTACGAAGCAGATGCAGCAGCATTAGTTTTCGAGCAGCCTGTACTCAAGTAACAGCAGCAATTTTTTTGTTTGCGTGTAAGCTCTGTTGTGAAGAAAACACATTGGTTATGCGCCAAAATGTACGACAGATTGTGAGATTGTCTTCCAGACTACATTATAATCTCTCAAAATAACCAGCAAAAAATCAACAAAAAGCCATGAGCACGAAAAAAAAAAAAAGACGCGGGTCATTCCCCTCACCCTAATCATTTATTGATCCTATCTCGTTCAGCAGCGCTAGAGGAACACCTTGTTACGAACAGCAAAATCACAACTTAGATTTTTCTGTCTGCCTTCAGTAAAAGATTTCATGGCAGACACGAAGCCTACTGTGTGGAGTGACAGAGGCATCAAAATAGACCTGCCTGCTAGTAAGATTAAATCACAATTTAAACCTCTTTTCAAACACGCCATATCTTATCAAAATCATTTTTTCATACTTCACGACACTCTCTCACATTATCTTGAACTCAGCGTCAATATTCCGGAGCTTTCAAATACTCATAGGAAATGTGTTCTGTTGAAGCGACATTCTTTGAATCCGAAGAGGAAGAACGATTGAACGAGTATTGAAAGTTCTAAGGAAATGCCCTTCTTAGTCCATGGAAATCTTACAAACTTCGGCAAAATAAAGGACGAATAGGCATACAAGATCCAGATCGCAAGCGTGTAATTACTACATACGCGTATCAATCTAGGCATTCCATGACCACAGAGCTTCCATCCTAATGGTCGCCTTGAATTGCGTACCAGATGCTGGAAAGGTAAAAAAGTGCGCATATGTCGAGGACTCGCATGCGTATTTTGAGACCCGCATTGATAATCTTTCCTTTACTTGATTCTAGATGGAAGTGGAATGCGTGGCGCATCCCAAAAAAGGGAATGGCTAATGGCGAATGCTTCATCCTTTTTATGATGCAAAACATGCTATGAAAAAAATCAGAAACAGGTGATTCTCAGACCTGTCAAGCTTACTACCGTTTATATTAGCACTTTTTTCAATTCCTGTAATGTTATGCAACCAGCAGCAAACCAACCATTTATTCTGGTACAATTATAAATATCAGCCACATAGCTGTCTTAAGCATTCTTCTTAAAAATTACCACATCGGACGAAGTCGACTATGAGATAAGCCGCTGATCCATGTCGCTGCTTTCCTCAGGTAGCCCATACAGTCAATGACGATCGGCTACGGGTTCATGCTATCAATGAAATCGTAAAGGTAGCGGAAGAAGTCATCAACAGCCTTTGGAAAATATTTTAAAAGAATTCCAAGACTACCAAGAATGTCAGCGTGCCAAATTCTACAAAATATAGATTTATTTAGTTTGTATTCGCCCGCGCCAATTCTACGTCATTGACAACCAGTGATTTTTTGAAAAGCAAATGAGAAATTTTGGTATGAGCGACTTCTTGTGGAGCAGCCATCTGAGATCATTATCTTTAATAGATGCTTTAGGGTTGTATAACACAAAGAGGCACCAAAATTTTATTTCAAAAGAATTCCAAAAGTTCACAAAAAAATTCAAAAACTCCAAAAGTTTCAAAAAGCAAAAAAGCAATTTGAAAAAGAATTCCTTTGAAATCCTCCGCGATATTTCGGTGTTTAACACCTTCTTCAGGCCTGAAATACATTGATTATAGTAGATATAATAATTTGGTGGTTTCCCAAACCCATATGATACCCACATGTGTTTGCCTCTGCCAAGGATAAAGCTGCCCTTACGGGAGCCGCGCCGTTGGAGTAGAATTAAATGACTTACCCTCACCCTCTGCTTAAATAGTAGCGGACGTACTGTGACGGTCATTGCATGTGATATTAAAAATGACGTGACATTGGGCACGTAGTTAATTTAATAGTTGTAGAGCGTCACGTAGTTCGTCCTTACTATTTATTTCGGGTGATAGTTTTCTTATTTCTAATGCCTCCAATAGTTTCCTTTCCACCGGGTTCCTCTATAGAGCGGTGTAATACCTTAATGGTCAACGTGGGGGGTTCCCCATAGGCGTGTTTTTTGGTGCGGTGCTTGGAGAAGCTGTTTGGATACGAGGCTGGGTTTTGCAACGCCCTTCGATGCTCATCCAAACGCCTGTAAAAGAGGATTTCAAAGGAATCTTTCAACTTGCTTTTCCGGTTTTTGGAATTTTGGAATTCTTTCGAATACTTAAAAAATTTTGTGAACTTTTGGAATTCTTTTGAAAAAAAATTTTGGTGCCTCTTTGTGTTACACAGCATTCATGTATGTAGGTCCTAAAGAGGCTCCAGTACAGCACTGTAGTAAAAGGAACCTTACTATTTACTTGTTCAATGTCTCCTTTCTAAGCGTTACCGTATCGGCCGGAGGACCGCAGGCTTATGCTATTCGAATTAGCAATCTCATCCAACCAAAGTGATTCCACCTGCCGCGTCTGTCTATTCAGCACTTATATTAAAACTTTTTCAGATGATCACATCTGTTGAATTTAGAGATTTTCTTGAACTAGGCAGAGGATTCAGTGCTGACTAGTTTCCTTTTGCAATAAGCCACGGATTTACCTTCATTCGGAACTGTGACACCATTGGTATTCGAATTTGCCGAAGCAGTAATTTTGTGGACCAGCCGATGTACAGGTCGGGTTTTTGCTATCCTAAGCAAGACTAGTATCGACCAATTGGACCTGGAGGAGGAGAAGAGCTGCTTTACCGGGGGACTTGGTTTCCGGATCATAGTAAGGGCCACTTGCCGTCTTTCATTAGTAGAGTTCGGATTTACGATGATATTTATACCAGCATTGAGCGGTAGAATTCATAGCAGTATTAGAGCGGTAGAGTTCAGTCACAGGGGTAACTCAGACACCTTCTGTGGCTTCTTATAGAATGTTGCTAGGGCATAGAGCATTTTTTGCAGCAACTTAGCTAGACATGTGGTCAGGCGTGTCATGCAGCAAGAGCAGTGAACTGAAAACAGGAAAATGTATGCCATGAGGTCTGCAATTAAACCTACACCCTTGTTCATCTTCGCAGTCATACCTTGAAAATTCTTCCAATTAAGAGAAAGCGTATCGAGCACAATAAAATCTCAGCATCGAAGCAAATACCTCAAATGAAAATTGTTCAAGTCGAGAAAAATCAGCACCGCGACTGTCGGACTTCAGTTTCCAGAGCTTCCGAACAACTCTTTTGTCCTCTCTGATGTTCCGCAGTTGAAGAGTTCCAAGTTGGATGGGTTGTGCATCTTGTTATTCTACGAGATTTATTGCGATCGTGCTGTCCTCACCGCCACCAAGCTACAGTATCCTTTCAAGGAACCGCCTGTACAAATACGTGATGCAATGGGATTTTCACAAAGTGGAATCTAACAGAATGACGGACACGGACTTTTGTCTACGGTACTCTGTTTGTTTAACGCTAATCTAGGAGTTTTCTCTGTCGAAGATTGTTATCGCATCGTACTTATGAGAGGAAAACGTCTGGTGGTCACTTCGAATTAGTCGCTCGCCAGGTTCAACAAGGTCGAAAACTTTTGAAATCCCACCCACCGATACGGAAGTTAAGCTTTATATTCAAAAAATAGGCCTTGGGGGATATGGCAATCCCACGGGAAGTTACCTTAGCCCAATATTGCTACTGCAATTTCTTGGAATGAAACGTTCCTTAGGACGATACCACCGTCCAATCTCATTCAGCCTACAAATTTTCACACCTCCCAATGGCCATCTGCGGTCTTTTCCTGTTCCACACGATTCCCAGCCCAACAGTGGAACCCCACCGACTTGCGAAGCGTGATGCTCTTCACCATCGACGATAATTTGTCGCGCATCTGCCGTGGTCGCAAGTCCTCACGCGCTGATGCCGCCGTTGATACCGTCCCCGGTTGTGGTGGGCGGAGCGGAGGGCGGAGTCCCACCGAGTACCTCAGCATATTCAAACAGGCACGGGATTACTGCCAATAAGTGATGTCCTGCCTTGCTATCATCTTCACTGGTCCCAAGACTAAAAATGGACGCAGACTCTTCGAACACTTTGTGGAAGCAAACAAAAGCAGCTTCTGGAACAGGTTAGTACTCTGAGCCTTTGATGCCTTCTTTTTTCTCATTCGACTCCTTTCAGAGAACTCGTTGAAGCTGTTGAATCGTTGATTTTCATGGGATTCATGCGACCATCTACGTTGTTTGTCTCTGGAGCCATCGTTCATCTTCAAGCTCTTCGTACTGCTTGGGCTCGTCGTGTGCTAAAACCGGCCGAGGGTTATTCGATCGCTTCACTTGGTGAGTTCTCCTTCCTAATAATATGTGTAAGTCAGAACACAGCATAAGTTCCTGCGATGTTTCTTCCTTCTGCTCCAATCAGTTCCCACACGGGTTTACTGTACTAATCCGAGTGGAGTGAAGGGGCTATTGAACTCACTGCAACCTTTCCTCATCGCCCCTTTGATCTGCTGGCTGGGTTCTCGTCCCTGTCTCGCAAAACTTCACCGCAAAACCGTTATCCTTGCTGCAAGCGATTTCGACTCGAGGTCGGCTCCACTTTGATGTTCGCCGTTTGGCAGCGCCATGTTGTGCTAATTGTACACTATAACCACCACCGTAACACCTTGAGGTCGCCAGATTTATGGTCTAATTGTGATCAAATTGCCCGCTTTCTCTCTAAAACGCTCCCGTAGGTCTCACTGGAACCTCGTTGAACTTTATCTCGTCATATCTTTGCACAGGGTCATACCGTATCTTTCGCAAACAATTTTAGCCAGCCCAATGTTAAGACGGCTTTTGAATGCTACTTTCATGGCTGAAAATGACTCAACTTAGGTTAAGTTTACATAAAACCATCATCGATTTCAGTAAAAAAATAAAAAAAATAGTTGAAAACAAAAAAATCACTCGAGTATTATAATACTATATTTTCTTTTTATACTTTTTTATCTACTTTTCGAACTGACTACTGACGCCTGGAAATTGGAAAGACAATCGTTAATGTATAAAGGCGGGCGCATAAAGAACCGTTCCTCGCGCGGTCCTGCATGTGGGCAGGCGCTTGTTAGTACTTGTACAAGCCCGTGAATTGGCTACTATTCGTTTCCCAACCATGCGCTTTCTGCTGCTCAGTAAGTTTTCTGTAAGAACTGTAGAATATATACAATAAGCGGCTTAGTGGAATAGTAGCCGGTGACTATGACGGATATATCTCCCCTTGTGCCGCATGTAAGGGGTGGAGCGGAGGTGTCTATAAGTTTGTGTCCCACCGCTTTATGCTGATGCATGCATGGACGCATTCGCTACAAAAAAGACAAGGAAGGCTAATGGGGACAGTGCGCGCGAAGTGCAGCCATTTCAGCGGTTTAAACGTGGATCGGGCCCATAGCAAAGGGCCCAGCACTCCTCATGATAGTTCTTATTTCTTACCGTAACGTCTAGCTCCACGGGTAGTTTGACAGAAACATATGTAACTTTTGAGCGTAACGAGACGCTGATATATGGCTGCGATTGCGTCAAGACGGCTAATTGCTTTCTTTTTGTGAGTTCTGCGGCTATGCGGGCACCTGTTGATCGAGCCGTGCAATGCGATACGCTTGTACAGGTGCCGAGCAGATGTCTGTGTTGGTACTTGTCGTCTCGACACTAAAGAGATAAGAGCCAAACATTACGACATACCGCGGCTCTTGCATATTTTGCGGATTTCAGGTGAAATGGGCGCCATCCAAACGGTGGAACAGATGCACTTTGTGCCGCTTTGTGCAATATAAAATATAGAAAGTCTGAAACGAGCCGGCCAAGCGACGACGATGCCGCCGTTCGTCAGCATGTCATCGCAACTGCGTCGTCGACCCCCATCGATGGATATGGTCAAGCAGACTGTCACCAATCTGATCGCCACCGGACTCGTCTACAAAATGGGCGATCACCTGTTCGTCTCCGTCCCAGCACAAGTTGAACCGAAAGCTAAGGTGAGTGGTCACACGGGTTTTACGCCTAATAAAAAATAGTATAAAAAGAACGATGCGGTAGAATGGCCGTCAAAATATCCCCATCCCTCTTACGGAGAGCTTTTTAGGTGGAACTTAAGCCATTCCCTTCTGAACCTTAGACAATGTAGGTGACCCAATTGCTATCATATCCTTTGCGGTCAAAGTCCTTCCATATCCGCGAGAAGAAAGCCTCCCGACGGAATGAATTGACTTGGGAAAATGATTCTTAGAAGCGGGTACAATAAGGTCGCCGCAAATAATTGTGGGAAGCATAGCAACACAAGCAACCGATTCAAAAAGCAGCGATGAACCACAAAAACGAATCGTATAAAAGAAATATAATAAGAGAGGGGGGGGGGCATCAAGTGGCTGCCCTCACCCCCCCCTAGACTGCCTACACTCCCCCTGGCGCACAGGTTTCTCGAAGTACGGGACCCCGTGAGCCAGGGGGAGTGAAGCCAGTTCAGGGGGTGGGGGTGAGGGCAGCTATTAGACGTTGCATCACAATGCCCCCCCCCCCTTACCGGATGAGCGCCGGATCACTTGACGTTACTCAGAAGAACTATGAAAAGATCCAGGTGCTATACAAGTAGGGTGGGCACGCCGCATTTTTTGAACAGAAATGTATGTAAGTGGGACTGCTGCTCGCTACTATACTGTCACGAGAATTCGTGAGCCAGGGGGAGTGTAGCCAATCTAGGGGGGGGGGGGGTGAGGGCAGTCACTTGACATGCGTGAAAAGCTGGGCGTGCCCACCCCACTTGTATAGCGTCTTGATATGAAATTCAAAAAAATGCAAACAAATCGCTTGAAAAACGGTGCATATTCAGGTGGCGGTGGAATGCCAAACGGGCATGTCGATCATCGCACACGAAGAGCCGGAGAAAAAAGACCGTTTCGGCTTCATAACCCGTATCTTCTCCAAGAAACCACACCTAGCCACAACAGCCAAGGCTACCGCCAATCAGGCGCTCGCCTTTTCCTCGAAGTTCGTTCCCAACTGGGACCAAAAGCTGCTGGCACCAACTTCGTGCAGGTCAGTTGTTTGCGTCAATCTGCCCGCTGGACTCGAATAACGCAGCGCCCTCGGCATCGATTCCCTCACTTTCTCCACCAACCCGTCCACTACTCACTCTTTTTCTGTCCAATTGTATCCGTGGGTAAGCATTCTAACTCTCTTAGGCGAGCAGGTGTTAAGTTTGACAAGTGGTTAGGTGAGTTAATTAAAAGCACCAGGGGGCTTCACAACTCATGATGCTCCATTGTTCTTGATTGTCCCCGTTTGCCCTTAGTGAATGGCATCGATCTCTCTTAATTACCATGAGTCAAATGTCACAACATGTCAGAATGTCCACTAAGAGTTGCCACTGGATATATCATGATGGATGTTGTGAAATTCCGAGCGATATTCATCATCTGTTTACATACATCTGTTGATCTGATTCGATTCTTATCTGGGGTGAGATTCTTAACGGTTTTCCTCGGGTTTTTTACTCCAAAACTACTCAAATACCTTCATCCAGTCTGTCAAATTATCGTTCAACTAGTGGGGAGACAACACTGATGCACTCGCTTCACCATTGAATCGGAGGAAACTTCTTCTAGTCGTACTTTTCGGTGAAGTTCAGTGGGGGGGGGATGATTGTCTCGGCTGCACTGGTCCCATTTCTGTGTAGGGTGGGAAGCTCTGGATGGTTATTTTTGCAAGAAAGGAAGTAAGTGAAAAATGAATATTCCTCAGGTTTTTGTTCCTAGATTGCTCTTCGTAACGGTGCCCCCACTAACTACATTTGAGCCTCCTTTTCTTCTATTCTCTTCTCTAGGGATCTGAAATCCTACACCGATTAGAACCGTATTGAGGGAAGTATTGTGGTGCGATTGCGTAAGCGAGCGAAACGTCATGCTTAATTGCCGACTTGCGCATCCCTATCCGACCTTATTCCGTTTCAGATATCAGACTACTCAAAGACGTACACAGCATGTCATCGAAAAGGTTGAACATCGACGTCACCCGAAATGCGAGCGCATTCAGATCACTTCATCATCGGAGTGTCTTGATTATGGTCCGATCGACCCACCTGAGTGCTTGCCTGGGAAAGTTGAAGGTATGGGTAGTGTGATTCTTCAATTTGTGCCAGTTTTGTGCTCGGTGTGAATCCGCAATACTGCCATTCCATTCTGAAGAGCATAGCTTACTTATCATACGTTTGAGAGGTTATGCTACCATGTCGACAAACGTATTGTTAGGTCCGAAAATACTGACTTTCAATAGAAATTTTTCCAGTGATTGAAGACATGCGAAGCCGTCGCAAACGTCGCATAAAGCGAAAGGAGATTCGCACATCTACACCAGTGGAAGCTTCGGATTCTGCCTATTCTGTTTCTCCAGTTCAGACCGATTCAAACGAAGAACGAGGTAGCTGGAGTGAGCCGGATGACAACAAGGTGATTTGAAAGTTCGACTGCAATTTTAGCACGGAGATGTCGTAGTGCATGGTTGTCGTAAATCGCTGCTATCTTCAGGTGAATCACACGTACATGAATCTCGCCGCAGCGCACGACTCCACCCAGTTCGAAGAAGTTCCGACAATTGTCTGCCCCTCAGGCCGCCAATACTTTCCAAATCTATGATGGCAGTCGTTTCATGTGCACTTGTGAGTAATCTCCTAGTCGAGGCGTCATGTCGTTGCCATTCGTTGAAATCAATCAATGTAGCCGTGTCACCACACCCGTTTCTCTTTGTTGTTGTTCACATTCGCGATCTTTTCTCTTCCTCTTCGTACTTCAGCCGCATGTGATTGTTAGTTATCTGTTATACTACATACATTTTCGAGCATGTACAAATACATTAATATTATTTATTATATAAATATTTCTTCGAAACGTTTACATTCATAAATCACATAAGGCAGGTGTGATTCCACTACTCAACTACGGTAGTTTTTCGAATTAGCCCAAACACAAAGCATGTGTGTGTACGGGACGTGGTGTTTATGCACATCCGGCAGGTGCTTGTGTAATCTCAGGCTTTACAACAAATAGGTCGGGTGACGCCTATTAGGGTGTAGAGATTGAACTGACAAAGCCCAAGCTCGATCGAATAACGTTTTGCTTGCTGTTTTGTGCAGCGGAATAGGAACTGCGAATCTTATCTATAGAGTCATCTCGACTACCTTGAGATGAAAACCATTCACTCACGTCATTCGACGCATCAATCAGTCCTTGGTTACTGAGTTGACTGAATACTGTGTAAGTGATTTCGGTTTCATCAGAACCAGCAAGATTCATCGACCTCCTGCTTTGGGCCATTCTCGAGACGCCTTGGTCTAAACTTGACCCTCTTCTGTTCAGAGGAAGTTCTAAAATCTGTGAGTTCACTGGAAGGAGTGGTTGTTTTACAAATTTATATCAAGCATTAAAATGGAACCTATTAACTTTTTAGAAGTGTTACATGAACAATTTGTTTTTGTAATCTTATAATTTACAGCGATAGTCTAACATGCCCGGGCTAAGATCTATTTTTTTTGCTTTTTTTCTCAGGCAATCGTTAAACTCTCATTCATTTTGAATCAAAGAAATATAGGGAACTTTTCTCATATACTTTGAATGACTTTGCTTGCCATATTATATTTTAATTTTTATCAAAGCTAAACAGGACGATTTTTCGACAATAAACGAACTGCAGACAAGTGCCGAAAATGGAGGTGTAATAGTGTAAATCGTTGATCCACGGTTATCAATTCTTTCTGTAGTGGAAAAAATACTATGATGGACTGCACATCACAAAAATGGGCTTCAGAGTGATGAGAGATTACCAATGTTGTGGCAGTGAACGTAATAAGGAAAGTATACATAGATCAGTAGCTTCAAATGTGAAGGCTACAGCCCCGAGTCGTCTATATCGACAGTCAATTAATGTGCACTGCCAACTAAAATTCTTACAAGTCGGCTATATTTTCAAAATAATCCTTCATACTTTCACAGTGTATTATCTCATTTTCTGTAAACCAATGGTTTCTTCCTTTTTTTTTCTCGGAAAAGGTCAATGTCGGCCGAACCTTTGACTAAGACCGGAATAGTCTCACGCACCAACCGAATGAATAATTTAGGAGTGTGTCTGCAGATGAATGGAGGAAGTACCGCAACAGGAGCTGCCAGCTACATACGAATGGTTTGCTGACCAGATCGCTGGCCATCACCCGTCTGTCATCAAAAACGGTAAAAGGGAAATAGGTACGCACACGCATAGTCCCTGAGCAATCATTCCCTCTATAGCTTTTGCTTGTTGCCACACCCGCGCATATTATTTGCTCCAGGTTGGTGCATTCCATCAAATCTCCCGTAGTTGCTCATTGATAGAGATTTCACTACGTTCTGTGCAAACTTAGAATTTAGGTCTCCTAAAGAAGCGTGGCAGTGACAAAATTTTGAAGCCGAAACAGGAAGGATTCCGAGGAGAATGTGAGGTGCGGTAATATGCAAAATGGTTCTTATTCACGCTTAGTAATAATTTCAAGGTCATGATCCATGTGTAAGACTCTAAATCCTGCTGTTCTCTTACTCTCACTTGTTGCTATAGCCGGCTTTATCCAGGCGTACATTTGTTGGATCTATAAAAGTGACTTCTAAAAATCTAAAACTTGGGGAAGCCTATATAGAGACCTTGAAATCATCAAATTCGTCTAACTAACTATAAGTAGCTGACTGCACATGGGTGAAGATCTCTGGCAGTGATTCGCTCAATAAAAGACTGCTCTGGAATAAGGCTGCATTTCTTGAGATGGATTCAGCGCCTTTCTACTAGCTCTCAAAGATATGCACTATATTAGTAGGGCGTGCTACGGATGTCCTTCGTCATCATGTACAAGTAAATGACGCAACTGGGTGAGAGTGACATCTTCAGGTCAATGTCTACAAGTTGCTGGCAAGGGCGTTGCGTCACTCGACTTCCGGAGATGTCAGCGAAGGATGCGGAGGCGACGCTGAGTCCGTTGATGAAAATAGTTCTGAATAAAACAACAGGTGATGTAGCAATTTTCAGTTCAGACGGATGGCCAGGCATAAGCATGGAAGATGCTGAAGGTCTCGCCCGCATGACTCCTAGATTTTATGGACTCACTTCTGTTCCAATCGACAAGAAAGGTAGAAAATTGTATTCTAGTGGAAGCTTCTCCAGAATCATGTTCTTTTTTCAGATGTCGACTTTCTAATATTGGAGGATGTTACATCTACTTACTCTTCTACCAGCCATATTGGATGTAAAAATGGGCAGAATCACGTATGATCCCGTCGCGAGTCCAACGAAACGAGAGAAGGAAAAAGCGAAAGTACCCTCCACAGACCGTTTTGGGATTCAGGCTTCTTGGGTACAGGGTGATTGGTTGTTTTTTGCACACTTTCATATTATGTCGCTTTCAAATGATTCAAGTGTCTGGTAAGCTATACATGACAGGTGTCTCTTACGATGAAGAGGAAACGAGTTCACTGAAGGCACGGTGATCATTCCGCAACAGCTGGGCGCCGTTTCCGTCTCGGTTCGAATCTCACGCCCCACATGGCAACAGTCGTGTCGGTGTGTGATCCCGCGCCCTTCTGGCTAATTGCCGGTTATTCAGACCCAGTTGAAGCGATTCGCGGAAAGAGAGCCGCTTTTTATGACAGTCAATGCCAAGATGCCGCGAAAAAGATAAAGACTTCGCTTTCCGGCAGGAGACACGCCAAAGATGCTTATTAAATTGACATCACAGTTTCATCGGAATGATCCATCCCACCAATTAGTAGGAAAAGATTTGTTTAGTGAAGGAGCTTTCCAAATCCTTTTGCAAAATCTTGCAGCTCATTTCAGATGCACTGCAAAGATGGCAAAATCGTGGTGAAAGATAAAGAATGGGGGAAGAGCTATGATGAATACAGTATCCTAGACGGTAGGCGAAGAGAATTCCAATAAAAAAAGCGCAAGGTGCTCAGTTCGCCTTCAGGTCTTCTCGAATTCTTTTCTGGACGGGGAATGGACTCAGGATTGATATCAGAAGCATTGTCGAAGTTGGATCGTGTACGACAATGGTTTGCTAAGCAGACGTCATTTCATTTCTATGCATCTTCACTTCTGTTCGTTTATGAAAACGATTCAACAAAACCACCAAACGTTCAACTAGTTATGATTGGTGAGTTCTTTCCAACCAAAGTATTTTTTTTGTTCTTATTGTCACCTTCTCAACGCAGAATTCCAGATTTCTCACATGTGTTTCCTTCGAATAATCAACTCGATACTAATTATATCGCCGGACTTAATGAGTTACATTCCAAGGTGAAGAGCATTCTTGAGAGATTCTCATCGATGTCAGCATCTCAGACCTCAACAATTGAAAATCATTGAAATCAACAGTTTCTCACATCCACTGATTGAATGTATGTATTGTTCAGAACGTCATATTGTCAAAAAATTATAAAAGCTTTCTAACTTGCCTATCAAGATATCTGGTAATGTTATCTGTTATATGACTCAAATAAAAATTGTAAATTGAATTATGTACCGCACCAGTTTTCTGCAAACAATTAGTGATAGCAGTTCATTCATCGTAATTCAAAGTGAGAACATCAGGCAAACGTGAAGAGATTAACACGCTATATGGGACAAGTGGTACGAGGAGAGCCGTACTGCAAACACCAGCCATTGTACACGTTACACAATGATCTACTATTGACCCATGGATCACTGGCAGGAAGAGAACAAGAGGAGAACATAAAGCCGTAAAAAGACGATAATGATCATGAGGTACTGAACAAACCTGTGACATATAGTCCAACAAAAAGAGAACAAATAGCCGAAAGGTTGCCTGCAGGGCTAAGCTTTCCCAAATAGTTGACTCGTCACTTCCATTGTATCAAGATCCAAAAGGACGATCATTTGAGTACGGGAGAAGCGTGGAACAGATATCATCAGACATTTTTCTCCATTTGGTCCCTCGAACCAATCAGACTCCAGCGATGGTTGATTTCCAACCACCATCACATGAGGAAACTCGTCGTCCATTATAAATGGATCTCTGTAGTAATCGTCGCTCATTTAACACAGATCAACAAGAGACTTCTATGAAAAGCCTTCCTACAAATTTATTCGTGATCTCACCGTTTGTCAAATGGAAACCCGTCGACGGTGTCAGGACAGGTGGGGGCAAGGATGCTGCCAGCGTAAGATGAGCCTCATAAGGTCGGAACTTGAGTTCACTCCACTCAAACGCCGCAGATCGGATACAGTTCTACCTGAACGAATCTCTAGGAATTCACTTGAAATTCGAGAAGAACCACTTGCACCCAGCATTCCAAGACTGACTGAATGAATTGAATGAATTTAAAGTTCGGTCTGTGCAAAGTTAAGTAGCCACCGGAAACATTTCCTGTGTTGAGCAGTACTGTTGGTTCTACACCGCACATCGGAAGCGCATCTATACGATTAATGGGCATAAACATCTTGAGGTTGAAGGACGCGCAAGGAGCCGCAAAAATGATTGCGAACTACGCAATCCTAATTACCTATTACGGATGGACGCGATAATCATTACCTTTCGCTGGTCATAAATATAATGAGATGAGACTATGGGACAAGGGAAGTGTCCGTAGTAATTTATATCACAAAACTCACCGGAAGTCGCCAAGAAATCCAAACCGTCGAGAGTGAACTGATATGGGTTGGTGGGAAGAGTTAAGGTATTCTCAGGCGCAGATGACTTCGGGAGGCATGCGCGATGAATTGGTTGCTGAGGCATCTGCTGAGTACACGGATCTCCAAGACCCGGTACCAGGTCCACTTTCATCTTGGTCTGAAAAATGGCACTGATCTCATGAAATAAATGGAAAAAATGAAGATGAGTGCAACTTCTAGTGGCTATCAAAATGTAGAAGCAAAAATCTAAAAATTACGAGATTAAATGCAAAACAAAACAGTTCTTCCAAAGATGCATGATGCACAGACAAACGTTTACATATTAACGTGGATCCCTTCCAATTCTGTAAATATTACGAATTTTCAACACCCAGCTGGATTGAACAACTAGTGAAATCCTGGTGCGATCGCTTCGAAACGGCATGCGATGTATAGGTTGGTGCTAGGTGCGCGATTGAGGGAAAAAGGAAACTCATATCCCTTTCTCAGAGCGGACCATCCATACTTCACAGTGGTAAAGTGAATCGGTATGTAGAGAAGAGGACGGATATGTTGCAATTGGAATTTCACCAATTTTCTTGAATATGTTCCTTTTTTTCTGAATCTACGGATCCTCATCACATTTTTAGTGCCTCCTGTCTTATCTCCTTTTTCTCCTCTTCTTCTTCTTTAACGTTTGTCCCGCTTGTTGGCGGGGTTTGCTTTTTTCTCAATCTCCTTTCTTGACTAATTCTGTCCTTTCTGTCAAGTGTGTCTCATGATCGTTTCTGTATCAAACTGTCCCATTTCAGCCTCATGCTTTTCAGGCTCCCTATCAGGAAATCATATACTGCTATTCTTTTGCAGGATGTGATTGTGCTCCTGAACAAAAAGGATGAAACCTATGTGTTCATCAATCACCTTTAAAACGCGACTCTTCCCTGGAGATTTGTAGTAGCATTTGATTGCGATATAGTCTACACAATGAAATATGGGAACAAGCCGAAGAAAGAGTCCGTGTTCTCATCCTCCTAGGTTTCCTTACCTATTGGCCGACCTCGGAGGAAGAAAATACTTTGTTGGCCTGGGCGAGATTTGATCAGAGATGAACCCAGACCGTAGTGGCTCCCCTTGCTCCTTCACCATCACACTTCCGAATTACTACTTCTTTATAACCTCCCTTCCAAAGAGTAGAACAAAAAGAGACTCTAATATCTGTCCCCTCCTGTCCCTTTTGTTCTTTATTAACACACTCAAGGATCTGGCAGTGATTGGACTCCTATTTAACCGCATGGTGGATGTTTTCTTCCTTTTCCTATGGTTTGGTTGTTCGTACTTGTTCAAACCACTGCTGGATTGTGGCAGGTGGCGTGGTGTGAAGATTAATAATAAAAAAAGTAAACAAATGAATAAATAAGTAGGAAACATCTCCTTCCCTAAGCTCTTGTCACCAAAAGAAAATACGTGTCCCATATGTTCGTGCCCTTTTTGCACCTTATACCAGAACTTCATTTAGCGATTTCTGAATATGACTAAGGAGACTACAAGGAGCCCACTTTGATGTAGCTTATACCCGAACCTGGGAGCTTTGGATGCTTTCTTAATTCAAAACCGAAGAAACGATCCATCTCGCTTTGATTATGAACTTCTACTGAGCCACAAATCGGTCGAAACCAAGATGTTTGCTTTGCGATACGTCTCCTTTGTTGTCGTTCACCATGCGGTACAGAATGGTAAACATGCTTCGCTCTGGAGGCTACAGCCTAGAGAAAATTCTGATCCAGGAGGGCAATCAGTGTTCGACTTGGACCTGCTGTGCTCTACCATTAGAGCAAACCGGCACGAGTTGTTTTGCGATCACCACACAGGCATTTCGGGTACACGATCGAAAGAGGTCTGTCCTTCTTTGGAAAATTGTAGAGGCTTGGACAAAGAAATCCTCATGAATTGACCAGTAATCACAAGAGTGCAACACGAGTTCTGTCAACATCTACCTATTCCATCCCTACGCGGTGGCTGAACAACGGCGCTACTGCTGATGAGAAGTGGTTGTTCTATGCTAACCACCTGCAGAAGCACCAGTGGCTAGATCGATCAGAAGGGGCTGAAAAACTGTCAAATTCAGCAAAACGTTTTGGGTCACGTATGGAAAGCAAATCGCGAACCAGATGCTAGGAACTTCTCCCCAGTTTTTGGCTTTGTTACGGGCCAGATCTCCTGTAATCTTGAACTTTCCTCCATAGTCCTGCCACGGAATGATGGAGAGCACAGACGATTACAGAACGCGCGCTGGCGCGACTCCAAATCCCTTAAGAAGGAGGTGAGAGCCCTAGGACTAAGCCTTGTAGGGGAGGGACTCCGAGGTGGTGAGCCAACTACAGTGTGGCAAAAGTTTGAATGTGTGAGATCACAACGGTCATGAGCCGCTGATAAGGCGAGAGAGCGCAGACGAGAGCATCGAATTGAGGCTGCTTAAGGACCGAGTTCAAGTAGTCCCGTCAACCGGCTGAGGCTGGTTAGAAAACTTCAACTATTACGCCCAAAATTCAATAAAGTATGTCCGCTCAACAGGCAACCGGGACCACGTGTTTTCGAAAATGACGCGCTCCAAATTTGGAAACAACTCAGCCGAAAATTTCTACCAATCACTGTGCAGCGGTAATCAGCCTCCTTCCAAAGGCCATCTGTTCTTCATGCCTTAGGAATCATATTATAGGCAAAAAATTCGATTCGGAGAAAAAGCTGAAATCGCCCTCACTGAATTTTCAGTTTGAAAGTGACGACCTTCTGGGGGTACGGCATCGTTTAACAACAAGGCTAGTGGTTGTAGGTGATCGCGTCACGATAGAGTCCTTTTTCCCGATTTTTATGTTACCAGATTAGTCCCCCGTCAACCGCCGGGACCTTCCTTTCCTGCGCAAGCTTTCTATCCTCCGCTATGGTCCCTTCCTCCTGTGACACCAACACCTCTGGAAGTGACGCGTATGCAACAATGGTGTTTCATACAGTAGAAGGGACACAATCATGATATGACGGTAGATTTTTCGCTTCCCTTCCTCATCCTCCCTTCCTCTCTCCACTGCCCTCCAGCTGCCACTGCAGCACCATGTGGAATGAACGGAAGTGTGCTAAGCAGGTGTTTATATAGCCCTAAGAGTGTTATCACAACTATCCTGCTACAAAACATTGATATCTCAAATCCTGTAAGCTACCCGATTTGTTAGCGGTTTGTTTATCCCATGAGCTTCCTTCTCACTCACTTCATTTTGCGGACGGACACACATACATACACACACACATACATACACAAACCGACACACAAAGTTAGCGCTTTATAAAATAGAAGGATAATGTTAACTCAAAAAATGTTTGAAAGAGGCACGAACTTTTGGGACAACCTAACAAATCGTACACGAATCACCACCGAATACGAATTCCCCATGAGAGAACATATCGGTAAGGCCCATCGTGCTAATTATGGCGTCAGATGTGAAATCTGACATTAATCCTTTGATAACAGCTTTGCGGACACATGAAACACATGGCACCAGTTCGTTGGAAGGCTAAAGAACAGCCGCAGCCATCAAGCTCATTAAAAACTACAGATCTGAATATTTCTAGGCTGTATCAGACTGATCACCAAATATTAAATCATTGAGGGAATGGGGAACACACTTAAATGACTTGTTTTGTTTGTTAACTGCTGTTTTGGCCGCAGTTCGCCTTGCGAATGTTTCACAAGAATGCTGGGTTGTGAACAAAACTTTCGCCCCAGGCGGGACTAGAACCCGCACCTCTCGCTTTCCGGGCAAGTGCGCTACCAGTTACGCTACCGGGGCACCATTTCATCCCAACTCAGCTTTTCATGGTATACTTACCATAGCTTGTCAGCACTCACACGTATAACGTGTTGACCTCGCCCGGTAAGCAAAAGGTGCGGGTTCGAGTCCCGTCTGGGGCGAAAGTTTTGTTCACAACCCAGCATTCTTGTGAAACCTTAAATGAATTCCGGCACATCGAATAGAAAAGAAGCCCAGTTCTAATTAATTAGCCTCGCACATCTTCTACAGAACTACAGGTGCACTGGAAACGTATGGGGATAGCCGCTGTCAAAGTAGTTTTTTATTCCCGCATAGGTCTACTAGCATAACGTGAAGATAATGGTAAAGGAAGCACAGCTATGCGGACCTAACGGTACGAGGTAGGCAGCAATGTGCGAAAATTTTAGGCCCTGACTTGCACCAACCATCTATTTCGGAACCGTGATGGCAGCGCATCACGTTTTGCAAGTCTTAGTCGACTTTTTATCCCACACTAATTGAACTGCAAATTTTTGGCGGATTTCTTTCTGAATTTATTGCATACATATATCGTATCTTGGAGCTTCCTGAGCCGTGTTCCTTAAAATAGCTTGTTGAGACAATACTACCTGGAGACGACACTGATGGCACCCTCTAAACAATGGCCGCAGTTGCGAAAGCTTTAATGGTAAGTACTGCGAGAGGACGTAAAGGAGGCGTGGAAATTGAAGGTATTCAAGACGGGTAAATCATGAAAAGATGGACAGAAGGCCACAGTGATTTTCTAATGGTGAAAGGATGGCTAATATCGCAGATGACACACACGTGAGGTAACTGTAAAGGCAGATGTAGCGCAAACGGTGCCACTTCATAAATTTTAGCCCAACGCACATCAAACTTCAAGAGAAAGAAGGAAAAGGTAGAAAATCCTTATGGTTCTTCAGCAAAGGTTGTAATGTAATCTGTCAGGTCCCACCACGACTCTTGTAAATATTTCAAGCACGATCTGCCTGGAGACGAGATATACGCATAATCCCTTCTTCCAGTCGATGATAAAACTCCGACTGCTTACCAGTTGAGTCACTCAAAAGGGACGGTAGCTAAAACACAATTCAGTCGTCGAGTGCCTCTCTCTGATTCCTTGTCTCGGTTTCCTCTCCATTCAGAAGGGAGTTGGGTGGCCCAAGGCGCGTAATCGGCGACGCCAGGGTCTTGAGGGATTTGGCTGGTTACCAGCCAGCTCTCATTAAAGTGCTGGACCACGAACAGTCATCAACTCGCACAACAAGCTCACACGGCAAAGCCACAAAGGGCGAGCTGGACAAGTACGGCCGGCTGGGGTTTCCTTGTAGATTTCAGCCCTGACCTCGCACTAGTTCAGCACAGCCTCTCCGACCATCTTCAACTTGCTACAGGGAAAAAAATCAAGGCTTGTGGAGAGATTAGGAAGATAGTCGACGACT